GGTAGTTTTTGTTGCTACAGCTTAAGAGACTCCAGAGAAGAAGGTTTTTGGAATGCATATATAATTATAAATGGTTATTTTTAACATTTCTTGTTTTCGAAATCTAAGCACATCATATTTAAGTAAATGCAGACACCTTCTGTAGTTCTTGTTTTGCTAGAAGTGCATACTGTATCTCATATTGAATCTTGCTGTTATGAAGAAATTTTGAATTTGGTAACGTTAAACAGCATGTTTTGGCTGGACTCCAAGCAATGCTTCACTGGCCTAGTTCTCTTTGACTTTAAAAAGAAAATTGGCTTGAATTAATTTGCCTAATGCTGCCACAGTGACTAGTCCTGATCAGATTTCAGAAGCTTGGAATGCAAGCAATGAAATCAGAGTGTGGCTGTCTGTCAATCCTCTTTGCTCACAGATTCACAGATGGATTTTGGCCATGAGGTGACAGTGATGTGAATATTGCAGGCTATCTGCTAATGAAAAAAAAACCTACAAAAATTGCAATTTCATATGCTTAATATTTTATCTAAATTTAAGTCAAGCTAATTTTTGCATGCCCTCTGCCCTGTCTTTCTCACACCTGAAGAAGGCTCCATGGGCGAAATGTTGTGTTTTCTTTCCTCTTTTTTCAGCATGGAATAAACCTATAACTTGTAAGTTTTGTATGTGCAGTATTGTAAATGAAAAACACATGACAAAATGTTTCATATCTGAATCAAAGCTGAATCACAAGATGTCCAGAGTAGGTAAGTGTTTCTTAAATGAAATTGCTGGAAAATAAAATGAAATAGAAAGTTCTATGAATTGAAGGAGTGATAATATATATATATATTACTTCCTACCACTGTTAACAAAAAGAAGGGCATCTGAAATGGCTCCCTTCTGGCAAGTTCTTACATGAGCAGCATGCACATTGAAGAAGTAATCATACACATCTTATTGTTTTTACTTCTTTTCACAGCTACTTTTCAGAACCTGTGATGTACAGTTCAGTTTTTATAATAAGTATTGACTTAACCATGGCTGCACTGTGATGCCCACCATCAAACAGCACAGGATGAAAAAAATGTTTTACTGATGGCATATTTTTACACATTCCTGAAGTGGGTGTTGCATTCTTTAAAGCGCATGTTGAATTTGGAGCATGGAGAACAAATTTGGTTTCACTGCCAGCCCCATTAACATGTGAAATTGCAGAAAATATTGTTGTTTACTTAGTATGTTACAGCAAAGGAATATGTTACGAAACAAAAACATTAATTGATTCTCCACCATCTCTGTGTAGGCTAATAAGTAAGGTTAAGCTGTGATAGATCTCTATGGAAATTAATTTTCATTTTATTAAGAAGTTTTGTTTCTACAGACTTCATATTGGGGTTTCATGTCTATTACTAAATTAGAATAATTTTGTGGACCTTGGAGATTATGATGGTAATACAGTACATACAAATTAAATGTATAGTATGTACACAATCATTGTAGACCAATCATAGTACAATCATTTGTAAAGCTACAATACAGATATTTTTATTAATCTTTAGTTTGAGAGTATAGTCTGGATCTCAATCACCTTTCCCAATTTTTCTTCCTTTCTGCTATAGGAATCTTTTATGAAATGTACTGTATGTAAAAATTCAAAATATCTTTTTGAAACATCGAAAGAACTTGAAGTTAATTTTTAGCCATTATTCTAATTTAGACTAGTTATTGCAGAATGGCTTATTTAAATGAAGAGGAAGAATTGATATTCTCTATGAAAAAGCAAGCCCCTTATACCTGTGACTTTAAACAGATTCATTTTGTTGATCTATAATATGATCTAATATGATCTATAATCCACTCAAAGTGCTTTACAGGTAATGGCTTTACAACCAATGTGCAGCATCCACCTGGATGATGCAATGGTAGCCATAGTGCACCAGAACGCCCGTCACACATCAGTTATCAGTGGGGAGGAGAGATGGGGATTATTAGGAGGCCATGATTGGTAAGAGCCAATGGGAAACTTGGGCCAGGACTCTTTTCAAGAAACACCCTGGAATTTTTAATGACCACAGAGAGTCAGGACCTCAGTTTTACGTCTCAACCGAAGGATGGCACCTGTTTACAGTATAGTGTCCCTGTCACTATACTGGGGCATTAGGACCCACATGGACCGCAGGGTGAGCACCTTCTGCTGGAGCCACTAACACCCCTTCCAGCAGCAACCTTAGTTTTTCCCCAGGAGGTCTCCCATCCAGGTACTGGCCAAGCTTACTCCTGCTTAGCTTCAGTGCCACTTGTGAATTGAAGACTGATAGGGCTGCTGGTGATCTACACTTTGTTTAATTGCTATGGCTACATCTTTCTTTCTCTTCTCACATTCATCCTCAGTGATGAAACTTTACTTTGCAATTCCAACTTAATATGTGCCTAACTGCCTTCCAGATTTATCTAGTGGGCAGCTTCTCAATATTGTATCTTAATGATACTAAACTTATGCATCATAAGCATTCATAGAATGTTTAAAATGCTTATACTGTGTATGATATTAATATTTTATATTATATTAATATTTTTGAAATAGGGTTGGATGGTGACACAGTGGTTAGCATTGCTGCCTTGCTGTGTTTGGGCTCTGGTTTCAGTTCCTGGTGTGCTATCTGTGTGTAGTTTGTTTGATCTCCCTGTGTTTGTGTTGTTTCCTCCAGGTGTTCTGGGTCTGTCCCATAGTCCAAAGATACACTGGTAGATGTTTTGGATAAATCTGTTGGCAAAAGGATGGATGGATTACTGGGAAATGTCTGTGATGTTGCTCCTAACTTGATTCAGCTTCTCTGAAGTGTTATAGTGTCTTTGCAAAAATTACAGCTCTTTTGCACCACACTCGTGTGGAGAATGGATATGATTCTTATTGGCAGTTCTCAGATAGGTTATGTTCCTCAATTGAAATTCTCTCTTTTAGAGTTCTTCAGTTAATAACAAATGCTTGCTTCAATAATTCATCTCCTTGCATAAAAATCCTATTCCCAAAAGGAAGGCAATTATAAGCAGTGCCTAGGGTATTTCATGAGGTTTTAACTTGTTTATTTCACTTTAATTTAGTGTTCCAGTGAAAAGAGGTCAGCTTGGTTTTCGATGAATTTAGTGTCCAAATGCTTAAATCCAAACTAATAAACAAAGAGTGTAAATAGTTACTGGCTTTTGTTTTACCCTCAAATATCTATGACTGTGTACTGCAGTAGAATGAGAAAGTAAAAGCTAGAAAATTAGATAATTAGAACAATACAGTGATAAGCAAATATTATATTGCCATTACCCTCACCTGGAGAAAAAGTATAATCCAGGTGGCCAACATAAGTGGACAGAAATGACTTATTATAACCATTTATGCAGATCTCAATCAATTAAATTATGCATTATATTATAATTCGCATTCTCTTATTTTTGCATAATCACATGAATCTCTCACTAACGAAAACCAACAGGAATAGAATCCAGCAAGGGCCTGTCCTCAATAAAACCAAAAAAAGCTTAAATAAAAAAAGAGTAAATACTATTGCCCATTAGTGTAAAGCAGCATGGAAAGTAGGGTACTGGCCACTTACTGTAAACCACTTTGAAATATATTGTTTTGTTAAGCATATATGGTATATAGCACTGTTGCTCTGCTCTTTATTTTTAAATTCCTGACAAATGTATTTGAAATCAGTCAGATGTGAGCTTTTAAACTTTGTATACAGTATGCTTAATTAAATTGCAAGAGCTACCCTACCAAGGATTAAGCATGCACCCCACTGTACTAAAATGAAAAGGCTTGTTTGAGAGCCACTGTAGTGTGTATGGGACACAGGATGAAACACCAAATGCAGCAGAGGTACAAACGGCAGTATCTGTTAGCTTGGCACCATGCAGGGCCTCATGCAAAAGCCCTAGGTTTCAATCTGGGGATGTGTGAGAAAACTTGACAGTTGCACTGTTGGAATTACAATGTACTGCAATACACCATTGGTTCAGAGCTGTGGTGCAGTGTCTATCACTGCTTTTCCACAGATCATAGTTGCTGGATTCATTTCTGGACTAAGGTGCAGGCGTTCAGACTCTGTGTGAGTTTGCATTTCTCCCCTTGTTCATGTGGATTTATTCCAGGTGCTGTGGTTTCCTCCCAGCTCCCAAAAGAAATGGTGGCTAAGTAAACTGGTGTGTCTTAATTGTTCTCTTGTGATGGACTGATCCTAGATGATATCCCATCTTGTATCCTAAACCATTGTGATATACTCTGGATTTTGGGATTCATCTTGGTACACGATATTCACTCTGACATCCACCCCTTAGAAGTATATATTTGCTGGTATTAGTACAAAAGTTTCTTTCTGCTTAATCCATAGATAAAAAAAAAAATTCATTGAAGTCTGAATCGAAAAATATTGGGTTAATTAACAAAAATAGAAAAAAATTAATAACTAATACAGAGTTGCATATATACAGAGGTCAAATGTTAATCGATTCCTTAAATGGAAAGGTTAGTACAGTATACTTAAACATTTCTATATTCTCCTCTGTCAATATTGAATTGTATAAGTGATTAGCATGTAACTGATGTACGTTCTGTCTGAAATGACTGAAAGGGATTACAGAGTTCTTTATATCACTATAAATGGGGATTTTGATTTTATCTGAAATGTAGAACTTGCCATTTGGAAGGCTTGAGAAGTTGAACATGTAACTTGACAGGATGTATTGTACAATTAAAGCCACTATATAAAATAAAGGTGATTATTAGAATTTTTCTGCAAAGAACATACAGTATACAGTATTTACTGTATATCTGCCAGGTGCTGGTACAGTAGAATCTCTTTGAGGAAGGGGCCTGCTTCTTGTTAGCTGTGTTAACCTCTCCGAAGCCCTCCTGTCATTCGGATATTTTCAGAAGCAGCAAGTGGATGTCAATGAAATCATGCGCCAACTGTAGCTCGGCTGACAGTTTAAGTAGGCATTGGAGCGCATGACTGGCAAGCGAACAGAGGGAGGAGGGGGGAGGGCAATACCAGCTGAATTTCTTTTAACTGGATTGTGGCTTCCAACTTGTGCTCTGCAGGCGTGGAAAAGTTCATTGTACATCAGCTAAACCTTGTCAGCAAAACAGTTTTCTGTGCTTTAGACTTAGAAAGGTAAGAATGCGTGTTTTGCTATTTCTTTCTCACTAGTTGTTCGTATTTTTGATATCTCATTTAAAACGTCACTGTTTCGAATAGTTTACTAAATCATAAACTTTAAATTTTAATTTCAATGTTTTCTTGGAAGGGAATCAATTGTTTTGATTAATTATTTAAAAGGGTGTGCGGTTGTAGCGAGTGCATTTAAACAGATGACGGACACTTCGTGCCTTAATAAGACAGAATTTATTTAGTTGACCACCGGTATCGGACATTTACCGTGCAAGATGTTTTAGTCTTTTTTAAGCTTTGTCCTTATAAATATGTAATTTATATACATTTAATAGTTGAATTAATTAAGTGGAAAACACCAGCTCGTTTTAATTATGTAATGACAACGAAAGACACCAGGTGTTTTCCTGTACACTGTAGTCATCCCCACTAAATAGAGAATGCGTTTTCCAGGGACATAACATAATTTGTATATTTAAATTTATTTTTGTGCATAACTCATTTGAATGCTTGGACACAGTGTGCAACTATTTTCGACACTTTGCAGTTTATAAAGTTTATAATTTTGCAAGTTTTTTCTGTATTCTGACATGTAAACGTTTTTATAAATATATTTTTGTTCTTAATTTAACTAACCAAATAGAAGTTTCATTTTGATGAGAAACTGTTGGCGTGCTAAATATAGAATACTACGCAAAGCTTGGGTTTATTTTTTGCAATGCAAGGAAGCCTGCAGCCTATTTATAATCTACTAGGAATACCTTGGTCAGGGTCACATACTAAGGTAAAAGTTTCTAAATAGTTTATAAATGGTTCAAAACATTTACAGTAGCTACATGAATCTTTATCTTTGAGAATTAGATTTCAAATTATTGATTAGTTGATGACATTTTTCACTTTGTTCATATTTAATCACTCAGAGTAACCATGTATTCCATTAATATTCTAATTATTAAACTACATACTGTATACATGTTCAGTCGTATTTATCCAATATGATATGTGTAATTAGACTGTTTTATCAAAACCTATTTTAGAAGACTCAGATGTCAAGTAAAATAATTGATTCATCTGTGATATATCTCCTTAAGGTCTGTATTAATGTGGAACTCCAATAATTGTACTGTGTGATGTAGGTAACTGATATAAACCAAAGGGAGTTTTTTGAAAACTGAATTATTATTGTGCAGTGGATAATGTTATGTGTTTTTTGCTTCTTTTTCTAATAGGTAAAATGACACTGCTACAAAATCTTCAGCTGAAAATCGACCCTAAGGATCTTCAGATCAGGACTATAACAGTGGAAAGGTTGCTTGAACCACTGATTATACAGGTATTCAGTTTAATAAACAAGGACATTCATACCAATGGAAAAAACGTTTACCTTTGACTTTGATCAATGAATTTAATCTTAGAGGAAAATTAACAGTTAACAAAATGCTTGCTTTCTAAACAAGTAATCTAACACCAAGCCACCAATTCATTTTTAAGCCTCCAATTATTTCTACCAAATTGCTCCATGAATAAGAAGTTGATTATTATAATTGGAGAAACTGAAGATGGGCATGGCATCTTTAGGAAGCAGCTTAATAATACACTGGTGTACTATTTTCTTGTGAATGTGTGGACTTGTTTTTTCAGGACACTCAGAAAATGAGAAGGTTTTTGTTCTGGTTAGATAAATATGGGTTTCAGAGGATACAAGGCTATCTGAATGAAAAATGACAGTTCAGAAGACGGTCAGTCAACCACAGAATCTGCTATTGAGCAGCTAGAAGGAGAGTTTACAAAAGCTAATAGCCACTGTTCTTGACCAGCTTAGGTGCTACTAGGAGTCTTGGTTACAGGCACAGAGTGATACAGCCCAGACAAGTGCAGATTTTAGACTGAATTTAGCCACAACTATTTTGTTGTTGCTCTGCTCATCCATGCAATCACTTTTATGCTACCTGGTTAGTTGCTATCAGCTCCAATCCTATGCTTCAGAAAAAGTGTCTCAGTACAATAGCTGATCCTGGAGTCGTATTGCAAGTTGTGAGGAACTGCCTATGTAGTCTTGGGCAGAATGAAAAGATATGTCTCTTCAAGCAGCATGTGCCAGTTTTAGAGTTTGCATAGTGGAATGCTAAGCTGTTGAAGGGTTTCTCTGCAGAAAGAGTCATAGGGTTCTCTTAATTTCACACCTGCTATGACTCTTGATCAGAGGTTTACAATCAGCAATTCCCATATAATAATTCGGAGTAAACAGAATGTATTCTTTTACTTACATACAGTATATATTACATATATATATCCCTCACCCCTGGAAGCAAATATCTTGACTGTCATAATGTCTTAGTGTGTCTGTGTTTTTATTCAGTTCAGTTTTATTGCATCCCCCAAAATTCACTTTGGGGCATTTTTTATGTTACTAGACCTATTTGAACAAACCTGTCACAGTCGTCTTCCATCCTCTAGAGGGTGTTCCTACATTTTTTGTTGTGTTCCCAGCTTTATTTGTCCCAGCTATTTCCTATCCCCGATTCCCTATTTAAGCTTGGCGTCTCCGTAGTTCTGGGCTCAGCTTTGGAAGACGGATGCCCAGAAGCCCGCCTACCATCAGGCACAGAAGTGGCCCAAAGGCATAGGCTTCACCATGGCGTCCTGACCTCTGAGTCTGGGGCTCGGAGCGCTTTGCCTCGTTATGATTTTAATCTTCCATGTTCCTGGTTCAACGTTCCCATTCCTGTGTTAATGGTCTTTGTCATGGCTGGACCACGCGGCTTTTGGATTACGGACCGCGCCCCGATTTTCCCTTCTGGACTTCCTTGGACTCGTTAGCCTACTTCATGCCTCCTGTGCACCAGATCACTCAAGTTACCATCCCCTGTCTGTTATCCCGACCTTACCTAGCTGTGCCTTCCCTGATGTCCTTCTCCAGACTCTTATACCATCACATTATACCATCACACATAGGGTCTTCTTACGCAATTCATGAGAGTCAGAACCAGCTCCTGTGACAGAAAGCTGAGTCTTCTACTAAGACCCCATGGAGTTCCCATCAGGATTTTTTTTCCTTTTTTTTGATGTCTGGACTCTGATTGTTTTGATTTGGAGAGTCTGCCTGTTTTGGATTTTTTTTTTTCTCTTTCTTGGTATTTTTTCAAAGAGAGGACTGCCCGCCCTGTATATATTCACGTTTTTTGGTGACTTTCTAGTTGTAAATAGTCATTATCGTATATAGTAACCTTTCCTAGTTGTACAGTATATAGTCTTGGCTTTTAGCTGTCCCTGGTTTAGTCACCTTCGTTTTTATTTTATAAGGGCACCCGGAGTCTGCCCTTCTAGGAGGGGGTACTGTTACAGTTACCATCCTCTCCTACAGAGGGCTCTCCAACCTCCTCATGTTAGTCTTTATTAGCTTCATTATTTCCTGGTGTACTGTGCTTTAGCTTCCCTGTTAAAGTTTACTCCTTCCTGTCTTTGGGGCTCATCTTTGGAACATGGAAGCCCGATGGCCTGCCTACCACCAGGCTTCAGGAGGAGGCACAGCCCTGGGCTTAGAACAGAGCTCTGTATTTCCTGGATTCTTGTCTTGTCATGTGTTCCTGTTTGTCTGCATCTCCTGATGGATCTCCCGGCAATGGACTTATGGACTGCTTCCTGACTCCCCCTTGAACCTCCTTGGATATGTTTGTCTTCGGATATTCCCCTACTTCACTGTGAGCACCAATTAACCCTGTGTGTCTCCCCTGAACCCTGTCTATGCTCCTTTTTCCTTGCATAGGGTCTAAATATCATCCTACACGGGAGGGCAACCCGGCTTTTGCAGCGGAGCTAGTTCAGATACGGTGACATCATCACCCTCACTGCGCATAGCAGGGACCTCAGCTGCCTGGGTTGAGGGAGGTTTCCTTTAGCTCATGTGGCTGGTTCCCTGTTGCGTTACTCCAGAGACCCGGGTTCGCGCCCCAGGTGTTGTGGGATGAAACGGGTTGGAGGAGGGCACGAGACTGCACAGAACCGCAACGGTCACACTTTCATGACAAAAACGAAGTACTGTATGTGAGCCTGGTCAATACCTGGGTGAGAGACCTCCTGGGAAAGCTAAGGTTGCTGCTGGAAGAGTTATTAGAGGGGCCAGTAGGGGGTGCTCACCCTGTGGTCTGTGTGGGTCCTAATGCCCCAATATAGTAATGGAGATGCTATACTGTAAACAGGTGCTGTCCTTTGGATGAGATTTAAAACTGAGGTCCTGATGCTTTGTGGTCATTAAAAATCCCTGTGTTCTTCTCCAAAAGAGTAGGGGTATTACCCTGGCATCCTGGCCAAATTTCCTCTTGGCTTTTACATATCATGTCCTCCTAATAATTGGGCTAGGGGTGCTGACATACAGTATCATCCAGGTAGATGCTGCACATTGGTGGTGGTTGAAGGGAGTTCCTGTTATCTGTAAAGTGCTTTGAGTGGAGTGTCCAGAAAAGCACTTTATAAGTCTAAGGAATTATTATTCATTTTAATGACTTCATTTTATTTATTATGAAAATTTTATTCACAGGCTTGGCATGCTGCAATATGATGCTTTTTAGGTTTCCACACAGTGAAAACCTACTGTAATTGTAAGACATTTTAGTTTATATTTGATATCTTATGTGAAACTGGGTAGCTAAGTGATTTCATAATACCGTAGGTAGGTATCTTGGTGCAGATAAGTTTTTATGGAGGTTTAGTTAAATCCTCCTCCTTCTAGGGAGCAAATTGGACACACCTGCCTTGATTGACTGATTGGACTCCTGTGGAAAGAAATTCCTCAAGCAGAAAAGGGTTAATCTGATTGGTCCTGTGTATAATTGGACATTCCTCAGGAGTAGCAGAAGGCAGTATATCAGAAGTCAGGTGGAGAAGGTAGAGGGATTTGTCTAACCTCCCTCCTCAGGGAGGAAAAGTTGGTTATTGGTATCCTGAACTGTAGAGTGTTGAGATGGTGCAGTAGTGCTGCTGGCAATCCTTATTCCAGTTTAGGTTCTGGGCATAATTCTAGTTTTCATTTGTCTCCATGTTCTTTTAGGATATCATATGCAGCTCATATTTCCAGTTGTATTTTGTAGCAAATAACTTTTATAGTTGCCATCACGTCCGAATGCCTGAGTGAGGTTAGAGAGTGTGCAGTACGTGTAAGAATGTATTAAATTTAATGCCACATTAAAAGACAGAAAATTAACACAGATAATTGAATCTGTGCATAAGACAAAATGCCAATGTTTCAGCCATATCTTTGAGAACAATTCTGTTGCAGCAGTGAAGACAGGAAGAAGGCAACATAGATTATGAGTTAATAAAATTCCTTATTCATTTGTAATAGCATGTGTCTAAAACAGACGTAGTTAATGTAAAAAAGAACTTAAGCGGTTCTGTGGTTGGTATAAAAACTTAATGGGTAGGTTGCATCTTTTGGATTTTCTATTTATTTTGTCCTTGTTGTCATATTCATGAATTATTATGTTTTACATCCTAAACACCTACAGTATTTCAGATTGTCTCTTGAATTGATGTCCCAAAGCAAAGCACGGAGAAGCGAATGATCAGAACTTGATTGTCTGCTCTGACAATGAGTTTTAAAATGACATTACATTTTACATTTTGTGAGAATAGTTAACTAGCCAGGAATATAAGAGCAAAATATCCATTGATTAAGAAATTAAATTATCAGTTGTTCCTCTGAGGATTTTCTGCTTTAGTTACGGCTTACATGGGTATATACTGTATAATACCTCTTTTGGCAGGGGACTGAAAGTGGTCTTCATTTACCAGGTTGTTATAGTATGTATTGATTTGAAGGTTTGCATGGTAGAAGAAAATGCTCAAGGATATTTCATCTTTCTCGCCCTAATTAACAAGGGAAGGAGCTTTTTACATTTTCCATTAAATATAGAGCTAAGTTAACAAAAAATCATGTGATTGTTTTTTATTCAAACATAATATTTCAATTTCCTTTTTTCTAACCTTATAATACAATGTTATAGATTCTTGATGTAATGAAAGTGTTTTAAAGTCTTATCCTTTGGCTAATATATACAGCAATTCCTTATGCACTGTACTCATTTATAAATATGTCCAAATACCTACCATGGGACTACCTGTGAACATTAGCCATTTGGCCAAATATAATGTACAGTGCATCTTGTGTCATGCATGCTTGGGAGTAATTTATAATTTTATGTTTCTGCTAAATAAACAATTTGCTATATAGAGTCTACATTTAAGGAGGCTATGAACTCCAGTATTGCCAGGAAGCAAAACTGCCAAAATATGTGAAAGAAAATTTAGAAATGCCACCTAAGCAGTGCGTGCACT